CAGTTCCCTTTCCCACCCTCTCAGTGCGTGGCTTGAGCTTCCCAAGCCACCTGTGTGGAAGTGGGGCTGGAGGAGCACCTTGGGCAGACAGGCATGGCCTACCTGCCACATCCCTGTCCTGAAGCCAAGCAGGATGGTCTTCAGGGTGCCTGCAAAAATGCAGTGGGGTCATGGTTCTCCCCCCTGGAAGGGCATTTTTGAGGGAAAAAACCTTCATGTCTGGGGAAAAAAACCCCAGACACAAAGCTGGTGTGAGTCTACTAGGAATTGCAGCCGCTTTGATGGATCAAGAGGCCAGATGAAGGGCTGTCTTATTCTTCATGTGCCATGGCCATGTGGGTGCAGGCGAGTGTTGGTGGTGGTGGTGCTGTCCCCATGTGCTGGGGGAGCACAGCAGACCTGCCCTCCTGGGGAGCCACTCTGAGCCAGAGCTGCCTTTGGGACTGGCAATCATAATTTAATAGCAGTCTTCAAATTCCCACTCTGCCAGCCATCCATCTTCCCTGAGCAGGATAAAATAGGAAGGCATTTATGCACTTGAATGATGGGCCACGAACGCTGCCAAGCATTTCCTTCTGCTCAGACTTGCCCAGAGTCACTCCAGGGATGAAGAGGTTTTGTCTCCTTCCATGTCCTCTGCATGTTTATAGGTCTCCATCCCACATGCCATGCCCTTAACAAACAAACCAAAACCTCCTGCACAATGTGCAGAGGAAGAGGCTGATCCAGTCCCAGGTCTGATTGATGTGCCTGCTCTCCCATTGCACCGGGAGCTGCAGCGAGCCCCATGTGTGGGTGCAAGGCTCTGGAGACATTCCCAGAGGTGGGGGGCAGGCAGAGGAGGTTTCCCACTTGTTTTTCAGGCAGTCTTTGTTAAGGCTGGTCACGGCAGGCTGCACCTCCTGCTGCCCAGGCAGTTTTGCGGTTCATTGGGCGGGCAGCGAGCGTGGGGCTGGGAGGGTGAGCAGAGCCCTGTGTGCTGCACCCTCTGTGCAGGGTGCACCCTGCTCAGGGTGCTCCCAGAGAAATGCACAGGCCTGCCTTCAACCTGCTCATCAGCAAATCCTCTGAGCTTGGGAGTCTAGGGCAGGCAGGTGGCCAAGACCTAGGGCAGACGTGGCCATGGCTGAGCCACCCTGGCTCCTTTGGACACCTCTTTGGGACAGTGGGATTTACTGCTGGAGGCGTCTTGCAGTGCCAGTGCAGGGGCAGGAGGACTCTTTTGAATGCCAGAGGAAAGCAGGAATCAATCCAGTTTTCAACAGCCACGTATTTCCATGTCGTCCTTCTAGTCTCAGGGCTGTTTCTTACATTCTTGGATAATGAAGTTTGGGGTTTGTTTTTCTTTTCTTTCGAGCTCAACAAAGCCAATTTGATGCACTTTGAAAAGAAATTGAAAACAGGCTTCTCTGCTTCAAATTCTGCCAAGGTTCAAGCGTCCTGGGAATACAATGTCAAGGATAACCCTCCCCCACCTCACCCCCAACTAGACTTAGAAAGTTTTATCTCCTAGCATCAAAGCTGCACAGCTCTCCACTGTGCCTTTAGAGCCTGGGCTGTGCTGTATGTCCCTCTGATGAGTGAGAATATATATTATTTACTTATTGGCATCCTGGAACAAGTAGTACCTCTCTTAAGCCTTTTTATGGATTTTGCCTGCTGGGAAAAGGACCTAATTTCTGGCAAAGACATGCTGTACTGTCAGTATGTCAGCCTGGCAAAGCAGAGCTGTACGTATGGTTTGCATTTTGGGCTGAATCGAAGCCACAGCTTAAACTGCAGCATTTTTTTACAGCATGGGCTCAGAGAAAGACTCTTTGGAAAAGTATTTACCCAGGGCTTGTAAATACAGTATTATTTCTGCAATGTTTTATCACCCAGCTTATTATTAAATTTGCAATATCAGCCACCAGAAATAACAGAGAGATTGTACTTGCCCCTTTTTTGTTTCTTTTTGTTGTTGATGTGGCAGGGAAACCCTGAACAGCACTGGGGAAGGGAGCTTGTGCTGGACCTTTCCCAACTTCACAGCCCAGGCTTTTGAGTTCAGGGTGGGAAAGCAGTGGGGCTCTAACTTGTGATGCCCAAACCCAAGCTCACTGACAAGGAAGACAAAGTGGGTTTGGACAATAATGATTCCTCAACCACTTGGACTGTAAACTGACTTGACATTAAAAACCCAGCAATCGTTGCCATCCATTTGGCATACTCTGTTCTCTGGCTGTGGGTTAAAAAGGGTTTTTCCTGCAGTGCTTTGAAGGTTCTCCATGTGGCTCCCACATGCATTCCTCCCCTAGGATACTGGAAGTTTTGGCAGACAGACTTTTTAGATACCCAGAGATGGTATAAGCAACCAGAGGGTTATTATCAGCTGGATAACAAAAACAATCCCCCTGAAAATCCTCTGTGCTGAAGAAAAGGGTTATGGGGGTTTTGGTGAGAGTGGGATGGGCTGTATCTCTCCAGAAGGGTGGGACAGGGGAGGTGCTGGGAAAACATGCCCAAGAAAGCACAGATTGGGAAAGGACTTGGCTCGATGCAGATGGGAATACTGAGATTTACAGTTAGCCCTATCCTTTGGGATTGATGCCATACATATCACTGCTGTTAATTCAGCATACTTTGAGGCCAGAGGAACAGACTGTGAGGCACTTACAGTGATGATTAGAAAGGAGTGTGGATATCAGGATACCAGCATCAGCCCTTTATATGCCACAGAGTTATTTTACTATGCTTAAACTAGGATTTAGACATTGCACCTCCCCTAAACTCTTGCTCAGGAGGTCAGACATGGATTGCAGGTGTTTGGGAAAGAATGTGTGTCTGCACTCTGCAGAATTTGCTTGAAATCCAGGGCATGAACGTTTTGAGTAGCTGAGCTTGGGAGTTGCCTGTGTCACTTGGCATTGGCTGTGGTTCCACAGCAAATCATTATCCCATCCAAGTGGGAGAGAGCTGGGATCACAGCCAGCCTCTTGACGGAAGTCCTGCTGCCCCTCAGGGTGCTTAGGGGTGCTCACACTCATCCCCTCCCCAGAGAGGCGCCTAGGACAATGATTTAGCTGTGTAGTTTGATGCCTGGGACAGTTAATGCCAAGCCTTGAATAACCCTGATGGTGATCTAGGACAGGACATCCCTCTCTGGAAGTCTCACCCTGGACTAGGTCCTTTCCACTCTGGGAAGAGATAAAGCAGAGGTCCCCTGGCAGGTCCCAAACCAGGCAGTCCCTGGTTCCTGGCAAAGGCTGCTGTAAACCCTGCCTGAAAAAGAGCATTCAGCCCAGCAGATATATTTTGCTGCACTACATTGTGTTTCTGGGAGAGAAGCAATTAAGTAGGAGCTATAAAGCTGAATCACTCCAAGTGCACCATCAATAGCTCTTATAAACTGCGTTAAATCTGCTCAGTCCTTGAAAGGGAGGCATGGAAGGAACTGGGGCTGAAGCCAGTGAGTCGGTGGCTCCTCTTACCCACCTCAGCTGATGCAGTGTCTTTGCAAGGGATGTGGCTCCTCAGCAGGGGCTGCCTGAAGCACTCTCCCCAAGCCGAGGACATGAAACCTGATGGATTTTAGGTCAGTGCTGTGTCAGCTCATAAGCTCATGCACTGGGGTTGCCTGGGGCAGCTGCTCATGGGGCAGGAGCTGTGCTGGTGGTGGGTCCCTGTGGTCAGTGGGAGCCTGTGGTCCTAAAAGCCCCACAGCTGGAAATGCTGTTGCTTGCCCAGCTGCTTTCTGGAAGTAATCCTGGCTGCTGGCTCTCACCTCCCCAGCTTTTTAGCTCTTTTTTTCAAGCTTTTCCTCTTATAAACAGTCTCTTATCCCTTCTTTGGCAATATATTGTCCTGCTGTGTCTGCCATGGATATGCTTGTGCTTCCAAAATAAATAATTGGAAAAAAATGTATCCACTTGACCATCGCCTTAACTTCCAATGTGGGTTTGAGCTGCTTGGAAATGCCTGTTGAAAGCAGAGAAATGGTGCCAAGGTGCTTTTTGTGGCTCTTGCCTCCTGAAGTGTGTGAGGCTGCCCAAACCCGAGTGAATGAGGCATGGGTGCAGCGTCCAGGGACTGGATTGACTTGGAGAATGTCTGCTATCTGCCAGGGATGGGGCCTCCACAGCTTATCTGAGCAACCTGTTTCAATGCCTCAACACTGTCATAGTTAAGAATTTTTTCCTAATATCTAATCTAAACCTTTCTTTCAGTTTAAAGTCCTTTTCCCTTGTCCTGTCACTCACTTGTAAAAAATTCCTCTCCAGCTCTCTTGGAGGCCCCTTTAGGCATAGGAAGGTGCTGTAAATTCTCCCCAGAGACTTCTCTTCTCTAATCCGAATAATCACAGTTCTCTCAGCCTGTCTTCACAGGAGAAGTGTTCCAAACTCCTCCAGGAGTTTGCACCCTTTTGTTTAAAACGAAGCCAGTCACATGTCCTGACTGACACTTGGAGCTGCCTTGCTTTTGCCAGATACAGCGATGGGCAGAGCTCCAGAGGCCTTGTCTCAGCACACATTGAGATATCCAAGTTATGGGTTCAGTGTGCAACCAGAATAGGAACCAGTGAGAGTGCCCAGATTAAGGTCTGAAAAATAAAACCTCTTAGGAACTGGAAAATGTTCACATCTAGACAGGAATTTGCTCTAGTCTGGTCTTCTTTTTTTTTTTTTTTTCTTTTTTTTCTTTCTTTTCATTTCTTGATTCTTCAAACCAAAATATTTGACCATGAAAAATTCATTGCCCTTAAGGTCATCCTGTACCTCAGAGCTGCAGATATGGCAACCTCTGGGTGCGGAGTGAGCCCTTGCTCTGATTTGCCTCAGAAGGGACTGCAGAAGCTAATTTCTGGCACAAATCACAGCACCAGCCATAACCCTGCTGCCACAGTGTGATCCTCTTGCAGGGACCACACAAGCAGAGGGGCTGCTTCCCTAGAGCAAGCCCTGCTGAGGGCTCAGCCTGCAGTGACACTCCAGCATCATTCTGTCCCCTTTGTGTCCCCGCAGGCGCAGCGACCCTGGCGAAGGACGGCCATGAAGCCCCCGGCCCCGGCAGCTGTCGGGGCGCTGCTGGCCCTGGCCCTGCTGGCTCTCACCCACCTGCCCCCGGCCCCGGAGCACTCCCTGCTCCCGCTGCCGGCCTCGGCCCCCCCAGGGCCCCCGAGGGAGGCGGCCGTCCCCCTCTCCGCAGGGCAGGCCCACAGAAGAGGGCTCCCCGTGCCCCGCACTCGCCTGCAGCAGGAGCAGGCCCCCGGCCGGGGCAGGAGGCGGCGGGGGCTGGAGAGGGACGTTCCCCACATTCCCCCTTGGCTCTCTGCCGACGACCTCCAGAAGATGCGGCTGCTGTCCAGCGGGCAGGTGGTCTCCAAATCCCGCGTTCCTGCCCACGGGCAAATCATGCGAGTGAGGCTGCGTGCCGCGGGGGATGATGCCAAGGGAGATGCCGAGGGGGATGTCTTGCCAGCCAGCCCGGAAGGAGACTGCCAGGATGGGCGCTGTGGGCTCATCAAGCGCCCCGGGGACCTGTACGAGGTGCTGGCCTTCCACCTGGACAGGGTGCTGGGGCTGAACCGCAGCCTGCCCGCCGTGGCCCGGCGCTTCAGCAGCCGCCTCCTGCCCTACAGCTACACCGACGGCGCCCTGCGGCCCATCATCTGGTGGGCTCCTGACCTGCAGCACCTGCAGGATGCCAACAATGACCAGAACTCCTGTGCCCTGGGATGGCTGCAGTACCAGGAGATGCTGCAGCCCCACAGACCGATGCCGGTGGCCAGGGACGCTCCCTGCTCCAGCATCCCACGCAGCGAGTGGAGCCGCCTGGCCCTCTTTGACTTTCTTCTCCAGGTAGGGCTGTGGTGGTTGAGGCCACCTGTCCCATCAGCTGTGGCAGCCGGGTTCCCCTGCAGCTGCACCTCTATTGTCTGACCGTGGTCTCCTGCTCTGTGGGGTCACATCAGGTGTAGTTTCTTGGGATGTATTTTCACTCTTGGAGAGCAGCAGAACTTTGTGCAGAAGCACTTTGGCCTGTTTGGCACTTGCCCATGTTTGGCACTTGCCAGGCAGGTTGTGGTGAGTCTGTCCTCACATGGGTGAGGTTTCTGCTTTTTATTTTGTGCTGACAGAGGCTTGGAACATTCCTAGAGACATCCCTAGGGCATCCCTAGGGATGAGCGGCATGTCTGTCACCAGCCCCATCACATCCAAACTCAGGGATGTGCTGCTGGCATTGGAAATAAGGAGCCATGCCTTGGACAGCACTGCCTTCCTCCTCCTCGGCATTAACAGCACTTAATCTTCTGTCTGGAAAATCATACCCTGCTGCTACGAGGGATTACAACAGTATCCCAGAGAGTTATCAGGTCTTGGAGGGCAGCTGTGAGGAGGCAAAAGTGATTTCTGTGGAGAAAGAGAAAGCCTGTTTTGGCACCTGGGGGCTGTTTATCAGACAAGAGAAAACTGCCTGAAAGGACAAGTATTAATACAAATAAAAAAGGGAAGAAAGAAAAAACCCTCAAACTACTAAAATATGTTTTCCTTACTCTCTCTTTTTTTACAACTATGGCTGGCAGAGGTGGAGCTGTTCTGGCTGCACTTGAAAATATTTCAGCTGAAACACCCAGAGAAATGAGAAGATTAACCAACCCCCTTCCCTTCCAAAATACCGCTGAGTGCAGTGGAAAGGCTGAGACTGCAGGAGAAAGTATCTAGTTCTAGTTCTAAGGAGGGTTCCTCCTCAAGGGCTGAAGCAGTGCAATGATAAATTCAAGGGCAATCCACAGGTTCTCCTGAATAATTCTTAAGGAATCCTCCCATGCAGAACAAGTCACATAAAGGTAAAGAGGATATTATAGAAGTGGGGTAGCATCTTTCAGAAATGGCATTAGCAACTCCCACCCTTGCTGGGGAAGGAGAAGTTGGGTGAGTTTTGAGCCCTGTTGTACATTGGCATTGAAATCTTTGTACTTTTCTTCAATTTCTCTTAAATTTTGGCCTCTTCTGTGTTAATTTCTCTTGGTATTTGCCGTAAGGGAACCGCCCATTTTGTGCAAAGTTTTAGTGGGGTCAAAATGCCAGGCCTGGTGGAAAAGGGGCAGTTGCTGATGGCTTTGTCCTGCACTTAAAGATGGCCAAAACCAAATCAACTCTGCAGCTACATCCCTGCCCTGGGACACCCACTTCCCAGCCAGGTGGAGAGCAATACAGTTTTCCCTAGGGGAAGCCATCCCAGGCTGAATCATAACTGGAAAAACCTATCAGATGCAAGGGGATGCCCCAGGATGGGCATAAGAGGGGCTGAAGGTGAGCTTCTGGTAATGTTTGAGCTTGGATGGGAGAAGGTGTGGCTCATGTATTTGTGTCCTAGCAATAATACCAAAATTCCCATGAATTAGAGCTGTTTAGACTCTGGAAACAAGAAATTAATACCAAAAAATCAGGGGAGGGCAGGGGAGGGAGGGCTTGTCAGCATGTCAGGGCACTCTCAGCATCTCCACAGCCTTCTGGTCCCTCTCCTGGGTCTCTACTTGGACACCAGATCTGGGTCCACCTCGCACCCCTGCGTGTTCAGCATCCACCCACCCTGGTTTCACAGGTGCTCGTGGGTGGGTGAGGGGAGTGCTGAGCCTATTTAATCTCTCTCTCTCAGGTTGTCTTCACCTTCTGTGCAGCCTGCAAAACAACCTAGCAGGTGAGAGAAGCTGGCGTGCTGAGCTCTCCAGCAGGCAGACCGAGGAGATGCGAGGAGGAAATGTGATATTTCTTCTGTTTCCATGTGTTTTGTGACAAGAGGCTCAAGCACTTTTTCACTGGAGTGTGTCCCAATGGAGGAATACTGACCTGAGTTCCTCATTAAACCTCAGAAAACAGAGAGGTTTAAGAGGCTCCAGTGTGGAACTAATCCTTCTCAAAGGGTTATGAATGGAATGGCCACGGAGATCACAATTTGTGTTTCCCTGCAGCATCTTCTCCCGTGCTTGGTCAGCGTTTGGGTTCAGACTGAGCTCTGTGGCAAAGCACAGCCTGTAATTGGTAACTTGTGCTAATTACCAGGGCAAAGGGAATAGGCAGGCTCGCTGGGTCCCTTGGCTTCTGTCTCATTGTCACCTGCAGATCCCTTCTGGATCACCTGAGACCTGCTCCAGCCCTCCCCCTGGCTCCAGGAGCCTCTCTGCACCCCAAGCCCTGCCTCCTGGGCTGGTATCAGCAATGCCGAGCAAATCAGCGCGTCGGGCATTTTCATGCTGCAACCAGAAAATAGATTTATTTTGTACTTTATACATATTTTCATATATTTCATGTATATTTCATATACATACATGGGGTTTTTTTGTAAACAGGCCTTGAGATCAGGAGGAGGTGAGGCAGCTCCTCTACAGGGTCATGTCAACACACAGCCATGGGGAGGTGTGTTGACAGCCAAGGTCCTGTCTGCCCCACAAATCACCACAGAGGATGTACCAGCTGCTTCTGACAAAGCTGAGGAAGCTCCATAAATACTGAGGCCAGGTCTGGCAGAGATTTATGTCTTTTAAAAGCCCTTCATTCCTCCAAGGGTGTGGTTAAACACTGGAAGTTGTCAAGCAGCTCCAGGGTTTCTGCAGGGAATCAGGATGGGAAGCAGGAGGTTTGACAGCCTGGACAACATGGAGCCTTAGCAGCACCTGCAAATGATTAAACACAAATGTAGCTGAAACAAGTCACTGTGGCCCAGCTTAAATGTCAGGCATGATCTGCATATGCACAGAGTGCTTTTTCCCTTGCCAATACTTTTCCATTCATCTTTCCATTGCGAGCTGCTCAGGTTACTGTAGGGATGGATGAAGGGTTGCATATGTGACAGGAACCAGATGAAACCATCATACAGAGCACCAGGACTGGGAAAAATAAATTATTTTTGAGGTTTCAGACTCTAGGTTTCCTTGAGTGCTTTGCTGGTTTTTTTATTCATTCATCATCGTGTATGCCTTCATTTCAGCTGGAAGCACAACGCCTTCAGTCTGTGCGGTACAGAATGTGGAGGTAGCAAGTGTCTGAGCTCCATCAGAAAAGCCTGTCACCATCACCTTTGTCATCCCCTTCTTCATGCCAAAGGGGTTTTGCATGTGTGCTTCCACTGCTCTCACTCACCACTGTGTGCAGCTTTTCCATTGCACATCTCCTGAGGATCCCTAGAAATGTTTCATTTTCCTCTGTACAAGAACAGCTCACAACAGGACCTGCCCATCCCAGGCACATGTCCCTGTTAAGGTCCCCCAATGTCTCCTGCAGGTCCATGACCGCCTGGACCGCTACTGCTGTGGCTTTCAGCCTGATCCCTCTGAGCCCTGCGTGGAGGAGATGCTCCATGAGAAGTGCCGGAATCCAGCAGAGCTGGTCCTGGTCCACATCCTGGTATGTCTCCCTGCTGTCCAAGGGCTGCTCTGGGGCTAACACCTCTGGGGAGGTGCCTGGGAGGCACTTGCAGGGCTGAGGTGGTAGCAAAGGGAGTGTAGATTCCATGGTGATGCTGGGTCCCTGCTGAGATATGGAGGGACACAGACATTGGCATCTGCATTCCCCCAGATTCTCTCGGGCTTTCTCACTGCATTAAAAAACAGCCTAAACCCCCACACTGGTGTCTCTGCACTGGGTGAACTCCTTGCCATCCTGCTGGCAGGTCCGGAGGAGCGCGCCGTCCCGCCTGGTGTTCATCGACAACGCGGGCAGGCCGCAGCACCCTGAGGAGAAGCTCAACTTCAGGCTCCTGCAAGGCATAGGCAGGTAGGAATGTGCACGAGCTGAGCAAGGGCTGAGCTGGCACACAGGGGATGTCCAGCAGCCCTGTGTGTGCTCACCTTCTTGCTGCTTCTGGCCTTCCTGCTGGGGCATCCCTCTGAATGGGGATGGATGTTCTGGATGTCCCCAGAACAGGGTGGGTGGTTGGGCTCTCAGAAACATCCCACGTGTCCCTGCCCTGAAACTAACTCTTTATTCTGCTCTGGATGGCTGATGGCAGGCTCCAAAGCATATTTCCCCTCTATAATTGGCAGCTGCACAAAAATAATGAATAATCAGGTATTTCAGCATTTCTTGCGCCATTGCCCATGAGGCATTTTGGCATGCTGGAGGCCTCTTGATTTGGAATTTGTTTGGGTCTGTGTCTGATGGAGCTATCCTGCATGCTCACCAGTTTTAAGCAGAAAGCTCCTCATCCTGTGTAAGCATTTCCTCTTGAAGCATCATTACTCCAGTGCCCTGCTGCTCAGCCTTCCCTGGATAACCCCTTCCCTCCCTGTCTCTGCTCCTCCCTGCAGCTTCCCAGCGGTGGCAGTGGCCAGGCTGCGGTCGGGCAGGTTGCAGAGCCTGCTGTTGCAGTCCCTGCGCCTGGACCGGGAGCTCTGGGAGAGCCAGGGGGGCGCCGAGGGACTCAGACCCCTGCTCCAGACCATTGACAGGCGGGCACAGATCCTGCTCCGCCACATCCAGGAGCACAACCTGACGGTGTTCGAGGACTCGCCACGCTGAGCCTCCCCCCGGCTGGCTCACGGTGTCCCTGCACATCCCACCAGCCATGGATGTCCCTCCTGCCCTCAGCATGGACGTTATGAGGCTCCACACTGGTGCTTGGGTCTCCACAAGGTCTCTCAACTGGAGAAGCAGATGGAACCACAGGGAGTAGGAAAGATGGGGAAGAGATGTCTCCTAAGACAAGCCATGACTGCTTGAGAAAGGCAACAATCATCAAGTTATGGTCTCAGTATGGATTTTCGAAGGGAGGGCACATCCATGAGGGTTTTTGGGTGCCTTTACTCACATGCACACAAGCACATAAACAGCAGCTATGGAAACTGGAGTCTTGGACAGTTGAACAGCTGACAGGGACCCTGGAAAGAGTTAAAGAAGCTGTGGAGGAAGTCACTGGCAGCCTTTCCATGGCTTTTTGATGATGTCTTTGCTATTTCCAAAACATCCTGGACAGAGAGGCAGGGGGAAAGCAGAGGGAAGCTTTCTAAGTGGATTAAACAAAGACAAGACACAAGAGCTGATCTCTGCCTTTCCCCCTGCAGAAGAGGTGTTGTGTGCCTGGAAGTGAGTGTGAGCCAGTGCCTGGAGTTGAGATTAGGCAGGACCTTGAAGCTCAGCAGCACTGGGCAGCAGCTGCCCTCACACAGCCCATGGTACCATCCTCAGGGAGTGCCACGTGCTGTGTGCCATGAGCCATGGTCCATGCCCTTGCCCTGGTGGGCTTGGGCTGCTGCCAATGCTCTCAATGTCGGATTTGAAGATTTAAATCTCTCCTTTACTCTTTGCCTTCACTGTCAGGGGATTAAAGGCAAAACTACCCCACTTCTGAAAAGCACTCCTGGCTGCTCTCCTGGGCACGACTGCATGTAACTCTTCCCCAGGCTTGCAGAAATATGTTTTAACAAAAATGCCAAGCTATTTTAGCAGAAGGCAGTCAAGTGCAAAATGGTTTCTGAGCGCGCTGGCACCTCCGGCAGAGCCCATCCTGTTCCTGTCACCCCTCAGGCTCTTTCCCAGCAGCCCATTCTGATGAAGCACAGCATCATCCCAGCTAGGTAGGTCCTCAAGTGTCAGGGCTGAGGGATAATTCAAAACCAAAATGAACAGGAGGAAAAGAGATGCAGGGATGCACTCCATCATTCCCCGCTGTGTGTTTCCCAGCTGAGGCATGCAGTCAGTGTTTGCCTGGAGCAGTCAGTTCCTGGCCTGTGGGTTTATGGTTCGCCACCAGAAGGCTTTTAAAAGGCCTCCTTTTCTCCAGTGTTACAGGCAGAGCATCCATTGCTTCAGGCACTCCCAATTCACTTGTGCCTTTGGCAAGTCTCAGTGAGACTGGCATAGGCACCCAGCTGCACCATGGTACAGCTGCCCCATTGCAATAACTTTGGAGAACATGGCCACCCATGTAGTGGGAGAGGAAAAGCTGGCTGTGGATACCTTCCCTGCTCCATCCTTCTCAGCACTATGTCAGTTTTAGAGTTTGCTTTAACACTCATGCTGATAAGCACAGGCAATTGCCTTTTTTCCCCTTTTCCCTCTTGCTGAAGAGAAGGTGAAGCGAGACGTGGGTGACATGAATCAACAAGCAAGCACAAGTGCTCTCAGGAAGCATCAGCACTCAGCATCACAGGCACAGCAGCATCCAAAGTGCCATCATCTTGTTCCTGGAGTCCTGCCCTCCAATTAGCCAGGGAGGGCTTTTCCCCCAGCGCTCTCTCCACCCCGTGAATTATCACCCTATTTGCTGTGCCATGAGATGGATGACAATCATGGAAACCCTGCTAAAGCCTGAATCATGAGGATTTATTACTGGGAGGTGAGCTTAGCTTGTGAGCTTGAAAGAGAACAAAATAACTCATCCTGGGTCCTATGAAAAGCCATACCCAGGCATGGCTGTGTAGGAATAAAGAAATCCAAATGTAACAAAATTAAATTTAAAAAATATGCTGGGAAAAAACGTGAGGTAACAAGAGCATTAACGTAGAGTTTTAAGCAGAAGGCATAAGTTATGATGTACAGCATCAGTCAGAGTCTTGTTTTATCTCATTGAAGTGAGAAATTTCATCAAAGGAGAGGTTTTCATCGCATTTAAACCAAGTTCTCAGCAAGAATCAAGAGACAGGGGGGTGCTCTGTGCAGTGGCCAAAGCTGTGGACATTGCTGAGCTGGACCAGCAGCTTTTGCCTTGCCTCTGGTTGCATCTGCTCTACCTTAACATTGCACAAGATAGTGGGGTTTATTTGCATTTCTTTAGTTGTAATGTGAGTTTGCTGGCTAAACACATGTGGGAACATCTGTAAGCAGTTATACATGTGAATAAAAATCTCTTGTGATTTAACAAAGAGCCATGTATGGATAAATGAGAGAAGCAAAAGCCAAGATCTTGCTGAGACTGATCATTAATCTTCTTTAATTAGTCCATTTTTTCCATGGGCTTGCCAATGTAACCAGCACAGGCTCTGAACTGCAGTCATGGCTGTTCAGAGGGATCCTGTGCCCTGCTTGTGCCAGCCTTTACCCTGTCGTGTTGGGTTTGGTTTGCTCCAGCTATCAGTGTGTTGCATTTCCTATGACAAACTTACTGTTATGGTTGTAACTACTTTATAGTTGGAAATATTCCTGTGGGGCCACGCTTGACAAACTAGATTTCATCTGAGCAGGGATGCTGTTTTACCAAATTTTACTGCACGCCATCACAGATCGTGTTGGGGTGCGGTCACAAAAAATGGTGGTCCAAGCTGGCTGCAGGTTGGCTTTGTCTTTAAGAAGGCAGCAGCAGCTAAGCAAAGGAAAAATCAGTGGAGAGACAAGAGCTCCTTGACAGGGAGTATCCCTGCAGCACCCTTCTGCTCACCCTTGGCACCTTGGAATGTGCTTGGAACAGCATTTGGGAGCATGGGCACGCACCTCCCTGGAGCTCCAGTGGGAGGGAACTGCTTCATCCCACAGTGATCCGAGCGACAGGAGCCTGTTTCACAGCTCTCTGCTGTGCACAGCCTTTCAGCTGGCAGGAAATAGGGCTGGGGCTGGGAAGGCAGGGCCAGATTGGCTCCAGCCTGCCGAGCACACTCACGCACACGTGCAAACACCCACTGTGTCACTGCTCCTGTGCAGCCTGATCTTCACCCCCAAAGCTGGAGATCCCTGGCACCCCCAGCAGCCTGATCCAGTGCTTTGCTGGCCTCACCCTCCATACACTAAATGCCATTTGCTGATTTGCTGCACTTAAGGGCCACTTCTTGAGTGGGACACTAGTAAGTCTTTTCTGCAGCCCCATGTGGACTTGCAGAGCAGCCCCAGCACTCACTGAGCCCAGCCAGTGGCAGGGGTGACACCAGTGGGGTGGCACTTGGGGGTGAGATGATGAGCCACCCTTGTGCTTCCTTCCCCTTGAGGGTGGGTTGTCACGGGTGACACTCAGAGACCCCACATGGATGTTCTGCAAAGCCCACCCAAGCATCCCCGTGCTGCACAGGGGAAGCGTGGGCTGACTGCTGCCTGAGAGGCACGAGCTAGCAAGTAAATCCAAATTCATGGTTAAATCTCTGTATATAAAAATAATCTGGCTTTTAGAAAGCAATTTATTTATTCTTTCAGTACTTACTTAAATATTTATGCAAAAAAGGAGGAAAAAAGTCTGCTCTGACATAGGATTATTGTTGTAGCCACAGTCTTTGAGATTAATGGAAGTAAATTAGCCTGATGTTTTATTTACATCCAGAAAAGCAATAGATAAACTCTCCTTGTGATGGATTTTCTTCATTAGCTGGGCGAACGCCTAAGGTACAGCTCTTGACATTGTTTCTTCCACACAGTTAGACAAACAGTTTATCAAAAGAGTATAAAATTGTCAGGAAAAGGAGCAGATTAATGGCCAGTAAAGTGAAGATCATTGAATTTATGATATAAGTAGCAGTATCACTGGAGCTCAAGAAATGGCTTATTAGATAAGCACCATGTACACACACAGGGAAGTGCTGAGCCCCCCCGGATCTGCCGCATTGTCGCCAGCTGCTTCCCAAATCCCAGTGGGGTGGTGTCCACACTGAAGCTTCACCTCCCTCCTCCTTCCTTCCCTGTAGGTTTGAGCTTATTCTGTAGCTCTCTCATACAATTTCCTTTCAATTAAAACCTCCTAAGATTTCAGAAATGATAGCTTTTTCTTCATGTCTGTGCTGATGCAACCATTTCTGCAACTTATTTTGGCAATTTTGGCTGCTTTTTACACCAGGGGTAATCGTGCCAATATCAGCAACAACGATGTACAGGTCTTATGATTATTTGTAAAAATCCCCCAGCATTAGCAGCTTATGGATCATATGGCTCCTGCAGCAATTACTGCTGCAAGGATAATTACCTGCCAGATAAGGCAAATGGAGGAAAGGAGACAGGGAATGTGGGAGAAACTTAACATTCCCAGGGATGGCAGAGGGGCTGTGCTTGTGGGTTCCCGAGGTCTCTGCCCTACCAGACATAGGCTCAGTTTTCCAAGCATCAGAAGAGGGGTTTTTGGTACACTGATGACTAAAACCCATTAATTTAGCTGGTGCCATGAATCTTGGTGTCCGAGTGCTGTCTCCAGCAGGTGGCATTGGCTCGACAGGCTGTCTTTTCCCAGGGCTTGCCAAGAGCGTCTTACAAGTTTCATCTCTGGAATGGCAGATTTCAGGCTGCTAAAGCATCATTAAGTCCCTAATTCCTTTGCAGCCTAATCTGCCCAGCTGTACTTTATATCTCTTCACCAGCACCACCTTTTCTGCCCCCATTTCTCTCTTTCCTACAAAAATCTAGATTTAGGGAAGCAGAATGTTATGTTGCAAGCAAGACAGAGCAAGTGGCTGCTTGAAGAACAAAATGCCACAGCACCCTGGGCTCTTCCCACCCTAGTGTGCACCCAAATGTGGGCCCAGGTGCACAGGAGCCACAGGATTTTTGGATTGAAGATCCCCAATGGTGATAAAGTCCAGGAGCTTTTCCCTAGTGCTATGTTGCATAGCTGCTGCTTTGGTAGCATTGTCTCTGTTCCAGAGAACTTGTAAAGTTCAGGGCATTTTGAATGGGCCCTGCAGCTGCCTCTGGGATGGATTTTAAAGGGATACATCTCCTAGAGCTGTGTGCATCCAACTGGCAGACAACACAAATCCAGCCATGCTTTGGGGCTTTGGAATCCACTGGTTTGTAAGCAAGGCAAGCCAAAGATGGGAACAGCCTCTCCCAAACAGGAGTACTTTTCTACCCCCAGACTATCACCATGGGGTCCTTGGGAATTTCCCTGGTTTTTGCTTCACTCCTGACTGAAGGACCTGCCTCACATTTCCTCCTCTTCTGAGCTGAGCCAGTTTTTATTCCCTTGGGTCACACCCAGCATCCCTAGAGATGCTGACTCCATGGTGCTGCTGGCCAGGCTCTCTGCTTGAGCAGGTGTGGTACCACCTCTTCCAGTCCAGCTTTTTGAGTGAATTTTGCTCCCTTGGATTTAATGTCTGGCTGTATCTAAGTAGGGATGCCATTTTTATTGAGAATTAGGTGAGTGGATGGAGTGGTGCAGGCTACACTGTAAATGTTGCTGTATTTTTGCATGTATTTGTTTTTAATTTCCCATTCTGGGCATCTGGGAAAGCTTGGAGTAAGCAAAGTGTTTTACATCCCAGGGCTCTTTATGTACATAAACAATTGGAGGTTTATTGCCTTGACCTTCCCTCAAGCAAGTTCTTGGCTCCTCTGAGTTAAGTCTTGGGCAAAAAAAGGGATCTAATAAGCTGAGCTGCAGATTTGGGCTTCTAGGAAGCACATCTAGGTGCCAACAAGATACCAGGAGGCTGAGATTCGCCACAACTGGGACAAATCTTTTTAATGGCTTTTGTTCAGTTCACCAGGGTCTGCCAGTGCTGCTCCTTGCCAACAGTAAATAGTCTGGAAGCAGGGAATTGGTGATTATAATAAATTTAAGGCAATTCAGCATGGTTTTACTTGATTTGCAGTGTGGGGGAGAGGTGGCACAACATCTATGCACAGAATGGACAGGTTAGGTCAGACACTTTATTGTCTGAGCATGAAACATTGCATCACATGGAAAGAGCCATAATTAGGTGTTCAGGAAGAGCTCATCCTGCCCATTTTAGTAAAGGTGTGAGCTAAGAGGGCAGAGATCAAAGGCTTCCACCGAAGGCCAGAGCAATTTGCTGAGGAGCTTAACTGGAGGGCTAAGTGCCCGTGCAGGGGCATCAAATGAGCTGCAGCTCTTCCTTGCCTTTAGTTTTACTCCTCTTCCAGAAACAGGAAACAACCAACGTAGGGCAGGCATCTCTACTTCAGCTTGGCCTTTTCAAGCCTTTTCAAGCCTGATCACAGTTCAAGAAGTGTGGGAAAAAAGCTCCAAAAAGGCACAGCAGTCCTTCTGTGGGGACAGCCCCTGGGTGGGCAATGTGGCTTCACGTCCTGGGGCTCCACTCCAGCCTGGCCCCAGGCTGTGCACAGGGAAAACCTGCTCAGTCCTTCCCTGCCTCTCCCTCCTGGTGATGCTTTTGCATCACTCACCCTTCTAAAAGATCTCATCTTCCTGAGGCATTTTGATTGCTCTAGGTAGACACTGCCTTCTTTGCCTGCAGTGTTATCCCCTCCCTGCCCCTGCCTGCTGGAGCTGCCTCTTGCACGCTCCACAAAGCAGCCAGGCACTGTCCTCTCTTTTAATTGCTTTTGCCCACCTCCCTACAGTAGCTTTAGGGGATGTGGGGCAGGGGAAGGGCTTGGAAATAAGGAACATTTGGATGCAGAGAGGCAGGGAAAGGAGGGTAAGCAGGTACCTTGCTGGCTTGGTGGGAGCAGATGTGTCAATGCAGGCACCTGCATGAATATGGACAATAATTTCTCTGTCTTTGCAGAGCTATGGCCTTGAAGTTTGCCTCTTTTATTCTGTAGGGACCACTGACTGCAGAAAACAGATGCCATCTGTCCACCGTGCCTTGTAAATCAGATTTTAATCATCTCAGGGAGAGCTCTGTCTCCAGCTGAGTGCTGCAAACCAGGTCTGCAGGAGTTACTCTGCAAAATTTACATTTCTGAGATAGGTTAGTGATTAGGGCTCCAGCTTCATACCAGGGAGGCAGAAATCCAATTTCTTCCCCTCTCACAGATTTCCTGGCTGTGGGTGGAAAATAGCTTAGGCCATGGCTGAATTGATCAGGAAAGTGCAGGTCTGTTTCTCACCTCCCAGCTGACCTCCCTCCCCAGCACGCTGACTCTGCAGCATATCTGCATACAGAGTGGGCACAGAGGCTCCCACAATGAAGGACACCCCTGAGCCAGGACCAAGAGAGATACCTCCAAGATCCAGTTTTGCTCCATGAAAACTGAAGGCACAGATTGCAGAGGTGCTGATGTTGGAATTGCTGTCTCCTCCAGCAGTGCCTGATTCCCAGCTTGCCTGGTGGATAACACGTTT